ATTATATTATCATTAAACTATTGCTATCTATATTATGTATACCGCCGGTTTGTTTCATCATTTCATGACGTATATTTAAATCATTCTATTTAAATATCTCATCTTATGACATATATCGGAGTCAGAGAAAAAGAGGGAGAGAGAGCACTACCTCGTAAGAATTACCGGAATATCTTGGAATCTCGTTACTCCGAGATATTTCAATGCTATTAATTAAAATCGACGATATTACATCGGTCGCCCCTCCCGCGCGTCTTCTTATCGCGCGGCTTTCTGAAATGATCAGAGACGCGTATATTTCAAACTAAAAATAACACCATTATCGGGTCGGAGGGGTACTAACGACGACGAGTCTCAATTTAGTGCATCAGCCGGGGGGGATTAAAGCGAATATTATTTAACCCGTGTGCCCCGCCGGATTGTCGAAGTGTCAATCTTAATTTCACAATACGTCACGCGGATAAGCCGTGATTGGTAATGACGGGCTTACCGTTTATCAGAACGATCGCAATATCCACCACCGATTGCGCGCCACCGCGGATCGCGCATCTTGATATTCGCGTTAAGCGTGTATATCGCGGCTAAACCGTAACTAGTTTAGCTCGGGTAGTATTCGCGCTGCAATTGTTACGACTTAATAAACCACCGAGTCCTGTTTGAAAATACAACAACTCTTCCCCGTCGCTTATAAACGCGACGTTTCGAATATAATCGCGATAAATATCCGTAAATCGATAAGTCGTCGTGATTACAGAGCGGCCTCGCATTCGCTCGTTAACGAGACGGCTGTGTTGCGGAAGGAGGTCCGCGAGAACGCGTAAACGGCGAGCATGCGGAGCTTTGCGTGTGTAAATTCACGTTCAATCATTAGAGGGTGATTTTGGTACAGGGTGTTTTATACGCGGGCACGACTATACAGGGACGAGTGTATAATCCTTCGCTTCCTCTTCTTTCTCTTGAGAAAAAGATTTCCTCGAATTTAATTAATTTTATCGCATCCAAACGAATTTCACCATCGGCACGCTCGAAAGAAACCAATGTCTCGATTGATGAGTACAATTGTTTGACTCTTCGACGAATATATACCTCTTGTATAAAAAAATTCGTTTGAAACGAAAGATAACTTTCTCACGAAGAAATTATTTGCATCACTTTATATATATTTATCATAACCAAATAATATTTTATTTGGCTAAAAGATATTATTTCAAGTAATCGTCGTCCTTTCTGTTAAATAATCGAGTTTTCTCGAATGAGACAATGAAATTTCCACTCAAACAAATAATATTTCGTACAAGTTATATATTATTTCTGTGAAACAAATTTTAGTGAAAGAAATGGAAACACTGAGTCTAAAGAAGCCATTTTTTCTTGTATCTCCGTTCATCCCTCTCTTTACTTTCGCGCGTTTGACCGATTTCATCGCCCGGTCTGGTTTTATCCTTCTTCAACGGTGGTGCCGTTAACACGAAGTGTATGGAAATTCCAAAAATCAACAACGGCGGCCCAGCTATTGTAATATGCTGTAGGCACCTTTTCAAATGCGACTGATCACTGAGCCAGGCTCAATAAGCTTATTCCCAGCTTCTCTCGCGATCAATAATGGCCTCTTCGCCTGAGAGGGATGCAGAGAGGATCTTTAGACTAATAACGCACACGCGCGTACACACACATACGTCGGAATTTGATTCCTGAATCGCCCGGTTAATCAAAACGGGATCGATAAAGCTAAGCCGGACTCGGGCTTACCGATAAACGAGATATTTAGTACTGTCGATCCCGCCACCCACACACCGCGAGGGTATCGCACGAATTTGTAACGAGCTCCTTTCCACCCTCTGTTTTCCTTCTCAAGAATTGAATCCTGCCGAGGAGCGGAGCTTCGCAAGCGAGCCGAATTAATTGATGGAGAATCAAAGAAGGAGGAGGAGGAAGAAGTGCGAGAGTGGAAAATCCGTCAAGAGAGAATCCCGTGTCTCTCCGTCGCCCTCGTCACGGCGGGATGAAATATCGCAAGAATTCCGATAGAAGAGCGTCACCCGATACCGGGCGTCCTTTCCGAAAAACGTGCCGTGAAACACATCGTCGGCGAGCTCTCGTCGGACTACGTCTCTCTACGTCCGATCTCGTAGTTTTCGCAGGCCACCAGGCTTCCCTGTTGTTTGTACAGTCGGTACAGGTCGCAGCACTTTTTCTCAGATGACTTTCGCGTCTCGCGTATGCAACGGAAAGATGTATCTCCCTGGAGAAATTGTTAAAACAACAAATTCTTCTATTAGATACGGGATGCCTTACGAAGATAAAAATATGAGTGAAATGTTACAGGGTTCTTGAGTTTAATAAGAATTGGATGAGAAATAAGAACGATAAGAACCAAATTTCGGATGTCTGTTTGACTACACACGGAGGAGGAAAACAATTTACCGGCACGGTGAATTTCATTATGCTTTATTACGCAAGGAAATCTCAGTCAGCTACCATATGAGCTGATTTATTAAGAATATTAATTTTTGCTGGATCATCTCGCCGAATCTACTAAATTATTTTGCTTTAAGAACAAATTTAGGAAAACGCTATTTTGTTCTAACAGCAAATTAACGTGTCAACACGAATTCACTCGGTAAAATTTTTCTATTCTAGCAATAAAACCATTTTCCCGCCCTAATTACGAATTCTGTTCTAGTTGTAAATAATTCGTTAATTTGGTCGTGTCGGCTAAAAACAGCTTTAATCGCTTTATCGTAACGAACATGCAATAGCAAAGATGGTTTCGCCACAACATCACGATAATAATACAATAATTATTATATACTTATTACAATATTTATAGATTAATATAATAATTATTATAACATTTAGATAAAATTTTTACTATAATAATATATTAATTGATATAATAAGATATAAGCTCAGAATGCATATCAGTGTTGCAATAACAAATAAGTAGTCGATACTTTACGGTGGGTCTGCACACGGGTCTTGCACGTTTCCACGGATTTTGCCGACTGTCATCGCCACTCTTCTCGTTTCGTAGCTTTTCTCGAAGACGTAAGTCGCTCAATCTCAAGGATGGTAGGAATCGTATGAGGATTTGGCGAGTGTTGTTGTTTAGAGAAGTATTATTAGTAATAATACTCTAAATAATACTCTATAATAACGTGCACTAGGTATCCGCAATTTGGCTCTTATCATTCTTACTTCTTACCTAATTTGAAAATAAAAATGTTGCCGCTTTTAATCTACCGCCCGCCGTAACCGTCCGAGTGCCACCAAGTTCATTTGCAATATGAGTAATAGCTAATAACAAGTCCGGATTAAGAAGGCTAACGAAGCGCGGATAAAGTCAAATGCACTTCGCAGCAAGCGAGAAGTTCCTCTTTTTTCTTTTGCTCTTTTCCATTTCTTCCTTCTACCTTCCCGTCCCTCTCTCTCTCTCTCTCTCTCTCTCTCGTCCTCTTTCCGCTTGTCTTTTCTTCCGTGGCCCAATTCGCCTTTTCTTATCTATCCTCGCTCGTCGACCAGAACGAACGTTGAGTAAATTAGCGCGTCACCGGGCGCTTCCGCCGAACCCATTCTGTTTCTCTCTCTTTTATCCCGTCCTCTCGCGCACGGGTATGTGTGCGCGCGTGCGTGTATGGGACGCGCTTTAGAAGAAAGCTCCTTCGATTCCTTACGTAAAAGCCAAGGCGGGGGGATTAAGTTAACTTTTAAATAGGTCAACTTTACGCATTGTGCACCGGGCGAGAGAGAGAGAGTGTATACACGTAGTATGTGCGCGCACACTTTTCGTCCGGTTGACTCGCGCGACTATCAAAGGAAGAGCGGATAGTGAATTATACAATGGCTCGCTCCCGCTTGTCCAGGTCGATTTTATTCTCTCTCTCTCTCTCTTTTCTCATTCTCTTCCTTTTTTTCTTCTCCGGACACTTTCCATCGGTTCGTTCCCGTTGCTCCTTTTCGCCTTCGAACTCCAACATTGTTCCTTCCCGGTGTGGCTCGGAGTAGATTAGATCGTACTTTGAGCGGTCCCGGTCGGGCCCAAGTAGGACAGATATTCGAGAGATCCTTGAACGTCTGGAAGATACCCATAATTTGAAATCGATGCCTCTTCCTTCCTCACCCTCTCTCTCTCTTTTTCTCTCCGATTCTCTCAGGGAAAGCGTCCCCGCCGTTCCGCGAGGATCGCTAATCTCGCCTCGGACATCGTTAATTGCGAAACGTACATGGAAACTTCGCGGTTTAACGTTTGGAAATTAAGAAGGGACGCGCGGGAAGGAAGGACTCTGTTCGACCGAGTTCTCGACGAAGGTAAGGCATGAGGAGGAGGGGAGGGGGGGGGCGAGGAACNGGGGGGGGGGGGGGGGGGGCGAGGAACGGAGGTGCAGATCGAGGTGGCGGATTGATCAAAGAACGAAGAACTAGTAGTCGTCGGTGACGGGAGAAGTTTGTACGTGTAAGCTGGCTGGCCAGCTACGGCGCTACGTGCAATATGAATTATGTAAAACCCGAACTCTACGCGGCGTCCCGGTAAATGAATCTCATCCCCCC